GGAACGGTGGTTATGAGGAGCCCAGGAAGGGCTTTGCTTACTGCCCAGCACTGTTTTCTTGTTAGACAGTTGTGTTTGCTCTCGAGTCTACCAGCCTGGATGGAGATACAGTTGAGAGGGGGTGTAGGGACAGCGGGACCCAGAAAGTCCTAGGTGAAGAATCAGGAGGCTGGAGGCCCCATTGGCCACAGTGAGTTTTGTGACCTTGGCCAGGTCCCTTGATTTCAGTGAGCTTTAGGATTATGCATTGATGTACTTTTTTTTATATATATAAAAAATTAAGTTTAATAAAAGTTGAAAGACCATTCAGACCCAGGGAGCCAAAGTACTGGGACAGCCCGGGAACCCACACCTGCCCCAGGAGGAGAGCTTGGACAGGCAGTGGGAGGGGCAGTGGGCGGGGCAGTGGGCGTGCTCCTCAGACGGCCCCGCCCACCCCGAGGTTCTTGCTGCTTGTTAGTGACTACGGTTTGTCCTAGCGATGTCTTTTGATGACCTTTTTAAATAGTTGCCATGCCTTACATTATATCCCCAGGAGTTATCTTTTTTTTTTTTTTTTAGGACTTATTTATCTTATATCTGGAAGTTTGTTCCCTTTGACCCCTTTCACCCATTTCATCCTCCCCACCCCCACGCCCCACCCACCTCTGGCAACCACCAGGCTCTTCGTGTCTGACTTCTTAAGATTCCACATACAAGTCAAATCATACACTATTGTCCTTCTCTGTCTGACTTATTTCACTTAGGATGATACCCTCAAGGTCTATCTACGTTGTTGGAAATAGCAAGATTTCCTCTTTTTATGGCATATAAACATATTTAAGGAATAACACACACACACGTGCTCGCACATGCACACAGACACACACACACACACACACACACACACACACCCAGGATTGCCATTTTCAACGGCAGTAATCAAATAAGTAATCAAATAAGCGAAGTAATCAAGACTCTGAGCCCCACGAAGAGGATATATGTCATAATTTGGGGATCTGTGGCCACATCTCTGGCTTTGCAGTTCCTGGCTGGCCTGGGCCTCTGTCAGCACCCCCTGCACCCAGCCCCCCTCCACGGGTATAGCACTGGCCCCAAGCCCGTCATTCCCTTCCCTGGTTCTCTGGACATATGGCCATGGCCTTGAGGCTTTTCCAGTCACAGCGAAGCCTCTAGGCCTGGCCTGACCTTCCAGGGCCTCCTTGCTCCTGAGGGGAGCATGGAGGAGATGAAGACCTACAAGCTCAAGTCCTATTGTGGTTTTCAGAAGGCCTTCTAGGGATTCAGCTGTGAGGAGTCCGTCTGCATCATCAGAGAAACCCCTAAGAATTACATACACATCTGTGTAGCTAGCAGCTCGGCCCCTCCGGGTAAGCTGGCTTCGTAGGAGAATCGAAGAATGGCTTTCAAAGCCCAGGGAATGACTGGCCCCATAGTGGCCATTTCCCCAAAGTCATCCCCTCTCGGGTCCTGCCCAATATTCCAGTGCTTTCATCTTCTCCTCAGTTACTGGGGGAGACAGCTCAGCTCACCCCGGTTGGTTTTCTAGCTCTCCATCTTGGCACAGCGTGGGAGGGTCCTGCTGCTCTGACGCTCCCCTCCCAGCCGGTCCCCACCCGGCCCGCCCCTCTCGGGCAGGCCACCTCCTGTTCTGTGACAGCTGCTCCTAGGAGGGCCCACCAGGCCCTTCCCGCTCGCCAGCATGGACACTGCTTTCCAATACAATGCACAATCTGGTCCCTAGTAGCCAACGAATAGACTTCCAAAAAAAAAAAGTCTGGACATTTATTTCTGGTTCCCACCATCACTGTCCCTGCTGCAACCCCCAGTCCCCACGGCACTGAGAGCGGCGGCGCCCCCATTACTTCCCTGCAGCTGCGGTGCGCGCTGCGTCTAGGGACAGCAGGGGGCGCGAGGGAGCAGATCCTATCCCTGGTCCGCACCGCCGCCCCTCTCCCCCGTCCCTCCTCCCTACTCCCCGGCCTGGCGACTGCGCTCAGAAGCCAGGACAGGAGTAGGGGCAGTTCTTGGCCTGGGAAATGTGTCTGTCCCCCCAGCGCTCCCTTCTAGGCCTGGGCCTTCGGGAGGCCGACGTGGTGCCCAAGGCGGGGACTGGACTTCACCGGCAAGGAACTGCGGTGAGGCTGGGCCGGAGCCACATCTGGTGATAGGAGGACAAGTGGAATGGGACCCCTTGGTTTTTTAGGATACACTTTCTATTAATAACCGTTTCGTGGATTGTGTAATTGAGTTAGAATCTCCCCAGTTCCTCCGTGCTGTAGGAAGAGTGGGTAATGGTACTGTTAGTATTTTTGCTGTTCCCACCACAGGCCAATCCTGGAAACATTGTGTAGAATCGATCCATTTTTACCAAATGCAGCCATAATATAAAAGAACGCCAGGGAGGCCTCTGCCTGAAAGCCAGCTGCACTGAGGGGCCAAGGGCAGAATGCTTTCAAGTGATATTCTCATCTATTTCGCTTGTGTTTGGCAGGTCGTAGCGGCTCCCAGGGCTGGGAGTCACACTACCCCGGAGCGGGAGAAGCCGCGTGCACCTGCTGGGTTCCAGGGTGGGATTCCGCATGTCACTGAAATCCTCAGTCACTGAAATCCCCAGCCGTGCGGGTTGTCCCCAAAGTCTACCTGCAGGTTGAAGCCGCAAAGAGCTCAAAGCTGCTCTCAGACTTTGGGACACCTTGAACGCTGAGTAGAAATTGCGGAAGACCTCAGGGTCAGAAGGAGCAGCATTCAAACCCTTTTGTGAGGCAGTCAACGTGCTTTCACTGTTGAGGAACTTACATCCCAGCCCGGTTCTATCAGTCAGCGGCTATGGATGTTTGCAAAGCTCCCCAGCCCTGCTGGCTGCAGTGCTCTCCTGTCTAAAAAGAGGCAGTGGCGTTCAGTTCTTAGATGAACTCAAAGTTCTTTTCAGGGTCCAAGGAAAACTCAGGTGAGGTGTCACATGCCTTAGACAGGGGAAAGGGGCTGATGAGCACTGGGACATCACAACGGGGCTCCGCGCTTGACAATCTGATGACTTTTTCACACTCCACCCACCACACCCCCCACTGGCTTTAGGGAGCCTTAGCCTGTGCCGACATAGTCCCTGTCCCGACATAGTCCCTGTCCCTCCCCTGGCCTGATCCTCTCCAGGGAGGATCTGAATGTGCACATTTCCTGGCGATAATTCTTTCCTCTTCTTATAGCTTCTGTTGGAAACGCTCTAGTCTCAAAGGATAGCTTGACTCAAAGATTTGGGGATTCTTTTTTCTCTGAAGACCATCAAAGCCCCATTGCTGAGCCTTGAGGGGTTCACCGCTGAGGCTCTGGAAAGGAGCAAGACAGCGGGACCCTCATTAGGGAGAAAACAATCAAAAGTTCAGTTGACACAGATCAGTGTGTTTACCCAAGGTCTTCGAGACCTCTGGCTGTTATTATGAAGGAAGAAGATTTCTGGGCACAGAGACAACCATGGGAAAAATAAGAAGGGGTCATCTATTGAGTTTCTCCCATTGGTCAGGCACTATACTAGGTTCTTTTCTTTTCTTTTTAAGATTTTATCTATTTATTTGACAGAGATCACAAGTGGGCAGAGAGGCAGGTGGTGGGGGTGGAGGGGAGCAGGCTCCCTGCTGAGCAGAAAGCCCAACGCAGGGCTCGATCCCAGGACCCTGGGATCATGACCTGAGCCGAAGGCAGAGGCTTTAACCCACTGAGCCACTCAGGCACCCCTGTACTAGGTTCTTTACATCAGCTAAAGGTAACTAGGTTCTGTTACCTCAGACAAAGACACAGGTGTCTTGGTGACGCAGGTGTCACTGTCTCCGTTTTACAGATGAGGAAACTGAGGCTCAGATATATTGAAGAGCCAGCTGAAGTAGCCCCGGAATTGAAACCCTTTCTCCTAAAGACAGCTGGACCCATCCCAGGCAGCTTCGGAGAATCCACCAGACCGTGGGAGTAGAGGAGACCGTGTGCCAAGTGCCCAATGGGAAAAAGCATTAAACCAGAATAAGGGAGGCAAAAAGCAAAGCCCTTCTTTTCAGAATTCCTGGGTCGCAATGAAAATGTTTAACCTTCTCTGTGAGTTTTCCTCTCCTTTCTGAGAGCAGAACCCGCTTCCTGGGGCATCTTAGGGGGGAGTCTCTCCCACAAGTTGAGGTTCTTGAACTCTTCGGTGACTTCAGCATTGACCTTGCAGGGGACAGTGGGGCTGTCTCCCTTTGTTTAGGGCTGGTAGCTTCTGAAGTCCAGAAGGGGACCCACAGGAGCAGAGCTTCTGAGCCCGCTGTCACAGGTCAACACCTCCTCTTCCCATTGGTAAACCAGCTGCCTGGCCAGAGCCCACAGGTGCTCATCTGTCCGCCAGTACCAAGATGGACCAACGGATGACACCAGGGGATGGCCATCACCACAACAGCGTCCCCACATTGAAGGAGCGGATTGCTTCTTTGAAATACAGGCAGAGTATGGGGGGAGTTAAGACCTTGGGCTCTGCCCTTCCTGGCCTTTGGCAAAAGGGACTTACCTTCTTCTGCTTCCTCTACCACCAAGCGGGGGGCACAACGCAGTACCCGAGAGGACCGTTGGGAAGGATTCAGTGAACTGTCATGTCCGAAGCCCTCTGAACGGTGCCTGGGGCATGCCACTGAAGGCCAGCTCTGATGACTTCCTCCTTGTGTCGTTACCCAGGGAGGTTCTAGCGGCTTGACAGAAACTTACACTAAACTGTCACTTAGAGGTATTAGCTCCATTTTGTTGAGAGAAAATGGAAGTTCACAGAGGTTAAATGACTGGAATCTAGTTTTTATGAACTAGTTCAAGGGCCTTTTCACTACACCAAATGCCTCAGTTAGGATTAAGATACCTGTGTGTACGTGTGTGCATGTGGGGGTGTGTGTGTATTCATGAGTGGGACTCTTTGCTGATCATCAAACATTCCCCATTTTCTATTATTTAAGAAATTAAATAGGATGTTTACTGTGTTAAGAGCGTCTCACCTTCGGGAGTCTGTACTTTTCTCTGAGATGAACTCTGAGGCATGCCCTCTCTGCTTTTTTTTGTGTAAATGCAGCATCTCTCTCCATCCTAAAAGGAAAAGAATAGAAAAAAAGATCAAAGGACATAGAGGGCTGAGGACAGTCCCCCCCCGCACAGAGAAGCCAGATGCTGGGATAAACCTTCCTATGTCCCAAACACCTGCCTCTCTTTCCGGTCATTCTCCGGTGGTAACTCAAGGCAGACCCTTGAATCCCAGAGACAGCTTGGTTCTGGGAATCTCCTTAAGATGCAGCCCAGGGTGGGGCACAGTGGTTTTTCCTAATATCTCGCTGACCTTGCAGGGTTGCTCTGAATAGAACTTGCGACCACAAACATCAGAATCACCTGGGCTCCAGGTAAGAATGAAGCTTCCTGGGTGTGACCTTGGACTGACTCATCAGAACCCCTGGGGCGCGTGAACGGAAGCTCTGTTTTGAAGAAGCTTCCTGAATGATTCTTAGTCAAGTGAAAATTCGGTCACAGCATCCAGGGCTGGGGGGTCTTTAGAGGCGCATGGTATTTAGGGATGTAGAGAAAGCTGTTTCCCCTCATTGTCACCCCCTCTGGGCCCCAACTTGGGTACAGTGTTCCATTCCCTGTTGGGAAGGAGGCATCCCCAAACAAGGTAGGGTCGATTCCCATAATGCTCTGGGGATGATCTAATTGGACTCAGGATTAGTCTGGGTTAAAACTGACTCCCTTGGCCACGCTGACCCAGGCAGGAGCAGACGATCTTTGGGGATGTCTGCGAAGCTCACGGGGACTGCCTCCCCTCCCAGCTGCCCACCAAGGTGCATTATGAAGGGCTACCTTTATACACAGGGTCCTGCCCTCTGGTTCTATTGGACTGGCCCCAGCTGGGTAAGTGAAATCTTTCCTCTTAGGAGGTTGGGACGGGGACCGAGAAAGACAGACATTTGCTGGAACAGGTGGACTTGGAGGCCGTGGGCTGCCATGTTCCCTGGGCCACGGGGTCTGGGTGGCACGGCAAGGCGAGGTGACGGCTGACAGGCAGGAAAAAAGGAGCTATACTGGGGACAGAAGCGATGGCAAGAGCCGAGAAGGAGCTCACGGCTGACTTCCCACATTATTCTGGTTCCTAGGTTAGGCCCCTGTGAGTCCTCGTGGGGTTTCTTTTTTTGTTTTTTAATACTTATTTTTTACATATTGAGAGAGAGTGAGAGCCGCTGTGCGGGGGCGGGGCAGAGGGAGAGCGAGAGAGACTCTCAAGCAAGCGCTGTGCTGAGCATGGAGCCTGACACGGCTCGATCTCACGACCCTGAGATCAAGACCTGAGCTGAAATCAAGAGCCAGACCCTTAACGGACTGAGCCACCCCCAGGTGTCCGGCCTGGTGGGGTTTCTGCTGAGGGACTTGGTGAAGCATCGTTGCATGAAGCATTATTTGCATTAAAATAAATTCCGTTTTCATTTTCAGGGGGCTAATTGGCTTCTATTTCTTCACTTCACGTTTTGAAATCCTCTTCCCCAGCACACTGAAGGCTGCCTGCAGGGGGCGCTGATCCGAAGAGATCAGGCACTCCCCGAGCACCTCACCGCCCCCATCCCCGCAACCAAAGGTCAGGCCCGGAACAGGCACAAGACGATGCCGGTCCATCTTCCAGCTTTGGAGAGAGAAACAGAATAAGCGATTTGCCTAAGACATCAGCGACCCAGGGCTGGGGTAGAAGCAGATCTACCCTTCCCAATAATTTACTGCGAACATTTCTTAACGTGCAGAAAAGTTGGAAGAAATTTACAGTGAAACCCACATACTCACCATCTAGATTCTACAATCAGCATCTTACTATCCGTGTGTTGTCACACACCTCTTTCTCTCTATGCATTCATTTACCATCTGACCTTCTGAAGCATTTCAAAGTGGTAGACACCCGTCCTCGCGCCCCCAAACACTTCAACACAAAGGCCATTTGCTATAGTGACATACTTGTTTGCAGTTTTTTTGTTTTTTTTTTTCCTTTGAAGTAAAATCCTGAGTACAGTTCAGTGCACAGAGCTTCTAGGTACTAGGTTGGGTAATTTTACATGGTGACTTGACTGGGCTGAGGGGTGCCCAGATTTAAACATGATTTCCGGGTGTGTCTCGGAGGGTGTTTCCAAATGAGATTAGCACTTGAATCAAAGGACTGAACAGAGCAGACTTCCCTTCCCTGTGTGGGTGGGCAGCACCCAATCCGTCGAGGGCTTGACTGAAAAGAAAAGGCCAAGAGGAAGGGGGAATTCTCTCTGCCTTTGCCCGTTGGCTAGAGCCAAGATCTCAGTCTTCTCCTGCCCTCAGCTAGAACTTACACCATCAGCCTTCCAGCCGAGAAAGACCCAGCAATAATTTTCCTGGGCCTCGAGCTTGCAGACAGCAGATGGCGGGACTTCTCAGCCTCCATCATCACGTGAGCCAATCCTTACACTCAATCTCCCGTGCGCATATTACATATACACATATGCGTAAGTCTGTTTCTCCTACTGGTTCTGTTTCTGTGTATAACCCGAACCCCTATTAAGATATGAAAAACATTACCATCACCGGAGAAATTTCTCTCATTTCCGTGCCCAGTTAACACCTGTTTCCCAGTCACTGTCCTTTATCCACCATAGATTGGTTGTGCCTGTTCTAGAACTTTCTATAAATGGAACCATATACTATACATTCTTTTGTATAAGACTTCTTTTACTCAGCATGACGAACCTCTGAGATTTATCCAGGTGGTGTTACTCATCCATGGTTTGTTCCTTTTTCCTACTGAGTGCCTTGTTCTGTATGAAGAAGTCATGCTTGTTTACTCCATTCCGCGGATGGACTCAGACTATTTCCCAGTCAGGGCCACTCCCGATGAAGTTGCTATGAACACTTCTGTCCATGTCTTTTTGTGGACCTACATGTTCATTTCTCTGAGGTAAATAATCTAGGCATGGCACCAGAGTGACAGGGTAACTTGGTCGAGTGAGTTTAGTTTTGTAAGAAAATGCCTGAGTTTTGCCCAGGTGGGTGTGCCATCTCACGTCTCATGAAATGGAATGGAAGTTCTACGTTGTTCCACATTCTGGCCCACATTTGGTACGGTGTCTTTTTAATTTTAGCCATTCTGGAGTGTGTAGTGGTAACTTAGTGGGATTTCACTTTTCCTTTCCATGATGACTAATGAGAGCAGATGGGTTCTTTTCATGTACTAATTGGCCATTTGTGTATCTTTAGGAAGTATTTGCTCAACTCTTTTTGCCCATTTGTTTATTTATTTTTGCTTTTATTATTGAGTTGTAGAAATTCTTTATATATTCTAGATTCCGGTTGTGTGTCAGGCATGTTTTGCAAAGATTTTCTCTCAGTCTGGGACTTGCCTATAAACATTCTCTTAATGGTGTCTTTTGATGTACAAGAATTTTCAACTTTGATAAAGTCTACATTATTTAAAAATTTTATGGTTATTGCTTTCAGAGTCATGTTTAAGAACTCTTTGCCTTGGGGCACCTGGGTGACTCAGTGGGTTAAAGCCTCTGCCTTCGGCTCAGGTCATGATCCTGGGTCCTGGGGTCAAGCCCCACATTGGGCTCTCTGCTCAGCAGGGAGCCTGCTCCCCTTCTTCTCTCTCTGCCTGCCTCTCTGCCTACTTGTGATCTCTGTCAGATTAATAAATAAAATCTAAAAAAAAAAAAAAAAACTCTTTGCCTTACTTTCAAGTTGCAGAGATACTGTTTTCTTCTAAATGCTTTATCATTTTTGCTTTTATGTTCGGTTCTCTGACGCATATCAAAGTTCAAGTAACAAATGGCACCCTAACAATTACCGCACCATAAGTAAGGTAAAGGGACATTTTACTATTATTGAGAGAATTGGAGGGCTAAACGGACTGTTTTGTTGCCTTCTGGGTGGTGAAGCTATTGGAAACCCAAGCAACAACCTGGAGGGCATGCCTCTTGCCAGAGGGAAGGAGCCTGGCCCCACGGCCCTGTTACTATTCCTTAAATTGGGTGACTACATAAATTGGTCACACACACACACACACACACACACACAGCCAAGTAGCTGGCAAATAACCCAATTCACTGATTGACCACACCATTTGGGCCTTCTGGCCTTTGATCTATCTGGATACAAACTTAGGGAAAACTAGGACATTAGTTAATCAAACAGATGCCGTATCTGTGACCAGATGTATTGCTTGGACCTCTTACGTGATGTTTTACACAATCAGATGGAGAGTTGAAATTTCTGGCCGGTTTCTTCTTCTCTCACTGGGTGCTATCATTCTGCTTCTGTTACTTCATTATGCTTGTTTTTTGTTTGTTTGTTTGTTTGTTTACAAGCCGTAGGTGAAACTAGCCAAATGCAAGGGGTGTTGTTTCTTTTGCCTGAGCTTTGCTCTAGCACCAACATCATGTTTGCATTGGCGTTTACTTTTTAAAATGACTTTAATGGACTGCCCAGCCGAGCGTAATACACTCTAGGTAATTTATAAGCTACGATTTCTTTCAGAAAAAATACAATAGACAAAGTTTCCATTAAATGTAAGCCTTTGTACTTTCTTAGTTTCCTCCAGGTCATTAACCTTTCACCTATAATCATCTTAGCGATAGGACTTAGGCCACTCTAGTGTAATTGATCATTAGCAAAAGAGCCATGATGGGAAAAGAAAAACTCTTATTAAATGAGACATACTGTTTTTTTTTTTTTTTTTTTTAGTAGGCTCCATGCCCAGAGTGGGGCTTGAACTCAAAATGCCGAGATCAAGAGTCACACACTCTACGGACTGAGTCATCCAGGTGCCCAAAGAAATACATTTAATTAATACTTAAAAAAAAAATGATGATCACTTAACCTCAAGATTGAGGCTTCAATTCTTCATTGTTACTAACAGAGTCTTAAGTTACTCTACCTTAAAGTCTAAAAAATTATGTACAGATTATACTTAAAGATCGGTCTGCAGCAGTGAAAAATTGTGCGTTCTATTCACATTCTATGATGCTCAACGAAAATGTTACCCATATTTTATTTTTATTTTACACAGTCGGGAGAATGTCCTTATTTTTTGGAGGTATTAGGGGTGACGTAACATGATGTCTTCACTTTCACTTTACAATTTACTTTTAAAATCCTTCTATCTAGGGTGCCTGGGTGGCTCAGTTGTTGTCTGCCTTCAGCTCAGATCATGATCCGGGGGTCCTGGGATCTGGCCCTGCATCAGGCTCCCTGCTCAGTGGGAAGCCTGCTTCTCCCTCTCCCACTCCCCCTGCTTGTGTTCCTTCTCTCACTGTCTCTCTTCCTGTCAAATAAATAAATTCTTTTTCTTTTAAAGCTTCTATCTATCTATCTATCCAATCATCTATCCAACTAATCATCTATAAGCAATTATAACCAAATGTTAACTGTGACTTTATTCATAGGTTTGTATGGGTGTTCATTATACTCTTTTACTTTTCTGTACCTTTAAAATTGCCATAATAGGGGCGCCTGGGTGACTCAGTGGGTTAAAGTCTATGCCTTCTGCTTGGGTCCTGGGATCGAGCCCCACATCAGGCTCTCTCTCTGTTCAGTGGGAAGCCTGCTTCCCTCTCTCTCTCTGCCTGCCTCTCTGCCTACTTGTGATCTCTCTCTCTGTGTCAAATAAATGAAAATCTTAAAAAAAAAATGTGACCTGCCTATCTCTCCAGGCATTTAAAAAATATAAAATAAAATAAAATAAAATTGCCACAATAAACCTCCCACAAATTTATTCACAGTTTTTGCAAAGCTGAGTCTTATGACCTAATCCTCTTGTGCTTTCTAGGGTTTTTGCACACGTAAGGGAAAAAAGATGGCACGGTGTGTGCTTCGAAGCCCTCTTCCAAGTGCAAAATCTGAATTCTTGGATCTGAAAGCTTTTGATGTGCTAGAAGGGTGGGTTTGGGGAAGACCGGGGAGATAGGCTCACCATTGTCCATCTGAACATTCCAAGTGGGGTTAATTGAAATGAACCTCGACCAGAAAAAGTGCTAAGCGGCTTTCAGAACGACAGACAGATTCTGCATTCTGTGTGGCCGCCATCCCTCCAGGCTGCGGTGAGGAGAGGGTTTGAGGAGCAGGACACTCGTTCCTAAGGTGAGAGGCAAACAGCACAAGAAGGCGCATCTTAGCAAAGCCAAAGAGGTCGGGGAGCGGAAGCAGGTACGGCCAGAATTGGTTTCTTTCGGCTCTGAGAGGGAGGGGAGCCGTGGGTACTCACTTCTCCTCGATCATTTGCTTCTGATACTCCTCGTACTCCTCTCGAGTCATCCCTTGGGCTGCTGCGGGATCTGACGTTCCTCCTTCTTCTTTTTTTTCTTCTGACCCGCCACCGAATCCGAAGCTCTTGACCTGGTTGCTAATCATAGTTTTCATAAAGAAAGCCATGGTTTCTGCCCCCAGAAAAATAAAGCCAAAACTCAGACGAAACGTGAAGAACAGAAAAAAAAAAAAAAGACAAAATCTCCCAATATCCTCAACGATAACGCGTTTAAGAGCAAAGGACTTTGCACGGCCTCATCTGCTCAAGGGCATGATGATGGAGAAGAGTGGTTTGCGGGCTGTAAGCTGGATTAAAGAGACCAACTCCTTAATATAGGGAGGCAGATGGTTGTGATTACTAAGGCATACAATCAGATGCAAACGACTGCTTTCTGAATTAATACACTAAGCTAATTTCAGAGGTAAAAAAAAAAAAAATCCCCTCACATTATCTACTCCTCTCCCTACCCATTTCTAAATTTGAAATTATAAGCGCAGCAGGGCTTCATCAAGAGCTCCGTTTCAATTAACCGGAGCCGACTGCCACATGCCTGTCCCGGAATGTCCAAAGTCCAGCCCCTTGAGGACAAGATCCCGTTAAAAAATGGAGTCCAGCAAGACTCAAAACCCAGAATGCCTCATCAAGCAAAAATAATCCTTTGATCCGTCATTTTATCTGATTGGACCCTTAAGTACCATGCGAGGATTTGCCTTATTGTGTGCTGGAGTTCTGCTCTGCTTCCGTGGCTCCCGCGGCCCATACATCAGTCCCCACCTGAGGCAAATCTAAAGGGCGAGACACGCGGTCCCTCCGTTTAGATCCGGAAGATCACCTTGGGCTTCTCTCCCGCACTGACATGTTGCATCTCTGCTTGGAAATGAAGCACCAGACACTTCAGTGCTCGAACCCACAAGGTAAGCACGACCTGAGCTAAATCATCCACGTGGAATGGGGTCACCTTTTCCCCCTTACATGGGTCCACTTCCTGGGGAGCTCTGTTCACCATCAGTGGTGTACTCCTGCGATGTTTTCTAACACGCAGCACATTTCCAATGGCCACGGTTTTTTGCAGGTCAAGGGAGGAACTGAGTATGGCTAAGACTTTAATCTGTTAGTATCTTTCCAATTAAAGCACTCCAAGAGGGGGTGGGGCGGAGAAAGGTGCACGCTTGTAACCTGCGCTTGTTATTTGGCTGTAGGCGTGAGCCCTCTCAGGAAACGGGTCCCTCAGATTGCACATAACTGTGTAATGGTTAATAATTCCCTTTACTGGGTGCCTCGGTGGCTCAGTTGTTAAGTGTCTGCCTTGGGCTCAGGTCATGATCCTGGGGTCCTGGGATGGAACCCCGCACTGGGCTCCCTGCTCAGCGGGAAGCCTGCTTCTCCCTCTCCCACTTCTCCTGCTTGTGTTCCCTCTCTCGCTCTCTCTGCCAAATAAATAAAATCTTAAAAAAAAAAATTCTCTTTATTAAACCTATTTAAGGATGTTGCTAAAATAATCTTACCATGAAAGACAGCAAAGGTTCAGGATGAGATAGGAGCTGAGCCGAGTGCTCTGACGGAGAGTTTGCATTCATACTGGCTTCACTTTCACTTTTAGGGGCACTACCTGGAACTTAATCCATCTGGACCATTGTCACTACACTTCCATTTCTAACCCACCGTGTCTCCTCTCATCGCACTGAGGGGTATTACAGAGCCCTTTAGCGGATGGGGTAAAAGCCACAGCCTAGGATTCCATGTTGTTTGCTCAGGCCAGCCCAACTCTTCTTTAGAAAACACTACACTGGGGATGCCTGGGTGGCTCAGTGGGTTAAAGCCTCTGCCTTCGGCTCAGGTCATGATCCCAGGGTCCTGGGACTGAGCCCCGCATCAGGCTCTCTGCTCAACGGGGAGCCTGCTTCCTCCCTTCTCTCTGCCGACTTGTGATCTCTGTCAAATAAATAAATAAAATCTTAAAAAAAAAAACAAAAAACACTACACTGTTTCTTGAGATTAAAAACCACTTTTTTTTTTTGTAAGATTTTATTTGTCAGAGAGAGACAGAGCACCGGCAGAGGGAGCAGCAGGCAGAGGGACAAGCAGACTCCCTGGTGAGCAGGAAGCCCGCTGGGAGGCTCCATCCCAGGACCCTGGGATCATGACCTGAGCAGAAGGCAGATGCTTAACTGACTGAGCCACCCAGATGCCCTAAAAACCACTTTTATTCCCAAAGAAAAAGAGGATCTGCTGAAGATCTGACCTATGTCACAGTGTTGGTCGGAAAATGAAACCCCTACACTTTTTGGTACAGGTGTCGGGGAGGAGGGGTAAGCTAGCATCGCAGAGACCCTTAGGTGGCGACTACGTGGGTGTGGCAGCTGGATACCCCTGGGTATTGCTGTTTCATGAACCCAAATCTCTCATGGTCTCCCCAGTAGATAATTCCACTGAAAGTGGGATCATGTCCTTAAAATCTCTTTATTCCTCAATTTATTACAAGGGCCTTTCCCTTGACATCCAATAAACTATCTGCTATGTGTAGAATCTTGTGTTCCTCCAGAAAAGGAAAATAAATATCCCACGACTTGTGACACGAGGCAACCAGGTGTAACCCTCCAAAGGCTTCTCGTCATACCTGAATAAAGTCCCCAGACTTTTTTGCTATGGCAAGGCAGGTGAGGCGTATCGGCAAAGCCTGAAGTGAACCGCACAACATCGGCCCAGTGTCTAGGGTTTATCTACGCAGTCTAGCCTCCGCTGCGCCTCGCTCTCTCCCCAGGCTTGCTGATCAGGCATTATGGCATTTCCTCTGAGTTCTTTCAAACCCATCTAATTTATTTAAATCTTTTCTTTTATTCTGTCTGGTCGTTCTCTGTGTTACAGCAGGAGAGAGCCCATTACCATCTTCTGAAACCACTTTGAAAGACTCTTTGACCATGCTACGGAGCCTGGGAGAGAAATATTATAAAGAAACTCAAGATCATGTTTAGCAAGTGGCAGATCCAAGATTAAAATCCAGTTCTGTCTGACACCAAAGCCCCCTTCTTTCCTTTTAATACTGCATGGACTCTCAAAATTGGAATTATTTGGTTAAATAAATGATGCTTGCCAAGAAGATTAAAGAACTTTTTTAAACTGCCATCAGCATGATGAAGAGTTCCTGCTGAACTACACTTTTCCCAGTATTTGGTTTATCACAGGTGAAAACATCAAATGCACCACCTTAATTAGTTGGTGTCGGTCATTACCAGCAAGGGTAAGCCGTACCCATCATCATTCCAACTTCTCTTTTCCTGCTTCCACGTGTTCTGCTGCGTGTGGGAGGCCACCCAGGGCACAGCATGTAGCAAACGACAAACAAGACAGGATCACAACCTGGGCCTACTTGGAAAATAAATGCCTACTTACTACCCGAGATCAATGAGGGAAAAAGTAAATTTACTAAAATATTTCTTTATTTGAATAAGGTCAATGTCATTTCTTGAATTCCAGCTAGCGTCAAATAACAATCAGAAAAAAAACACTTGACAAAATGTCATCCAATTGAAATTAACAGTGGATAGAAAACCCTTAACTTTAAAAGAAATATATTAAATAGGCAACGTACAGATCTAAAAAGTTGCAAGTGGTGATTTTACATTATATCTTATAAATAAAAAAATCCCCCGTATAATGGTTTATTCAGGATCTCCCCGCATAAGCACATGGACAGGAAAAGATAATCACATCTTAATATTCATAACCGTTATTTAAGTTCTTTACAAAGATTGTATCTCTGCAACGCATTGGGTCAGGCGATCCCTTATTCAAGTAATTTGTTTTCCCTAAGTTATCAAAAAAGTACAACTGTCTGAGATAAAATGTCACAGAAATCGCAATCAAGAAAGCAAAAAGCTTTAGCAGGCAGACTTTGAGATGGGGGTTTTCATGGTTTAGTCATGATCTGACGATGATTCTGTAAGTTTAAAAGCCATCAACCAAAGTACCAAGAGCTACAGGCAACAATCTGGGTTTAGTTTGTGGTTGTTAAGAAAGCAAGAATTTTAGGAGGAAGAACACTGCAAGAAGAAAAGGATCCGTGCACATGTGCTAACGTCACCGGCAATGAAAATGATTATGCTCTCTGCTCAGCTTTAAACCAACAGAACACAGTACTTTTTTTCCACTCGCCATGTTAGTGGTTCTCAGACACTAGTGTGCTCAGAACCACCTGACGTGCTTGCTGAAAAGTGGTATTCTGAAGCCCCGCCTCTGAATTTTGATTCAGGTGCTTTAGAATGGAGGCCTGGAATCCTTACGCTTCACAAGCACAGCATGACCCACACGGTCCACGGACCATACTCTGAGAAACACTGATGTCCCTTTAATACAGAACAAAACATTGTTGATGGTTCGTGGCTTCTTAGTAAAGTTTTAAGCTGAATAAAACATTCAAACAATTAGAACACAAACAGGTACATTAAAAGAAAAGTATTAGCCATTATGGCATTAGATTTTTTTTTTAAAGTGGCATCACAGGCACGATGACTCAACACTAAAGTTTTTTAAAATCAATTTTGTTTTAGTCCAAGGCACCTGTAAAATACTTGCTGGTGTGAGAGAAGGTAACAAATGCAATTATACAAAATAGTACAGAAATGAAAGAATCCTGGCAGTGATTGATTTTTCCACAGAGCAGACACTTTTCTTCTGAAATGAGCTACTTAAAGCGAATGATTTTGAGGAAAATAAACCGAATTTCAAATAATACGATGAACAGCCTGTGCGAACTGCTTTATGAGTGATCTTCAAGTAAATTAAATTACTAGGTAAAAAAGAAAAAGATTCACGCATTTTCATAATAGCTCTCTCCGACTGAATTAGTAACGGTCAGCACAATTCCTCTCCCAACTGTAGCCTGAACAATGTCCACCGCATTCATATGTCGGGTGTCCCCTTAGTCCGTTCAGGCATACATGACAATGGATTTCGTAACACTGGATATTTTGCAGCCTTTTATCAAGAGGATTTCCCAACTTCCACAGCCCACAACTTAAATACTCTTCTGAAGGTTTTTTTTTTTTTTTTTTCCCCACAGATTAAGAGCAAATTCTGTGATGGCGTCTCTGGAACATGAATTTCAAAATGTGAATACCACAAAGGAGAGAAACACCAGAGAAGCATTTTCTCTTAAAGTGACTGAAGCAGAGCGAGCAGTCATTAGAATAGTCTTACTCAGCATTCCGGGATCAACGCTAACACGCAAAGCAATGCTAGGGCTGCCTGCGTACACAGCACGAAGTACGTACTGCTACAGTGCAGAGTTCCTCAGTCTCTGTACAGATTTTAGGCGGTTAGCCCAGTCTGTAAATGACGTTTGAGAACAAATTTATGAAGGTTTACAAGAATGAAATGGTACTGTTTTATACAACAGTGTAACTTCTTACTCTGGGTTCTCTGACAAATGAAAGATAACAACTTAGCTAAAAGAGATAAAAGTATTTTGAAGTCAGCAAAAACACAGGTCTACATCAGCCGTGAAGACAACATGAAGTCTGCATGTTCAAATGTCCTTTCCGGACTGATTCTGTAACACTGAGGACCACTATGCACAAACAGTACAGCGAACCCTTGCAGTCTGACATTTCAAGGTTAAGCTTCCTAACAAATGCTTCACAATATCCTTAGTTCTGGCATTAAAAAAAAAGAAGAAGAAATCAGAAGTGTAAATTCTGTTTTTCAAATTTGGTCTTCAAACGTCTACACTGTTTCTACTCCAGTCTCCTTGATTTAAACGACACCAGATTATATGAAGTGATGTAACCAAAACTCAGTGGTGGGTTTTTTTGGTGAACTTAAACTCTCCCCAGGATGTGCAATCTGGGCTGCATTTACACTATACAAAACGGGAGACGCTCCTTAAGTTACAAACTTAAATCACAAAATGATGTTCATACTGTTGAACTGATGCTGTTGGCATAGAGACGTTCACGAATATGAGCGGGCGTGAGCTGAGCACATTACCACGCCAAACCACGAAAACCATGATCAGAGGAACATTTTCACCTAAATGGTTTTTCAGGCAAAGAGCAGCTATTAATTTTCCCCCCAAATTTCCTTTAAAAGTGAAATGTATCATCGATAATCAGAGGGAAAGATACTTCAACATTCTGAAGCCTGTTACCTAGATCCTAAAGCTCTCAGACAAAATATTCTTTGATTTCCAAGGGAACTGTATTGGATAAAAGGACTGCTGGACTGGGTCTTAGAGTAGGAAACTCTGACCTCTAAAAAAAGACTCTGGTTTTAAGATAAACGTGATGGGGAGCTCTAAGTTAGACCACATAGTTTGGGGGTTAGGAAGGCAAGTGTATTTATGTTAAATAAAGAAACCTCCAACTTTGGAGACTAAGGGGTAAATTTCACATCTTGGGGCTGCGCCTAGTTTCTATTATTTACCATCTTATTTATCAATATTCTGTTCAGTGGCTGTATTCTACTGGCCAGAAATTCACTGAAATTTAAATAGATTTATGTACTATGCACAAATTTACATGTGGTTGTCTTTGTTTTACGGTTTATTCTTACTGCAAATCAATGTTTAAACAGTCATTTTATACAAAATTTAATAATTTAGACTATGAAGCAATTTAAATATTTAAATTCCCTCAAAAAGACAACATTTTGTATATACATACATGATGCACACATATGAAAAACGGGGTCAAAAGAATTTTTTGGCAGCTGCTTCTTGCTGAGTCCTAAGGAAAAAGAAGAAAAAAACCGTGAAAGTTCTATACATTTTACTTCAGTAAGAATCAGGACTGCTTAGAATTGAAATACACATCGCCTTCGGAAGTATACATCCCATTAAGATAAGCATCCTTCCTACAGATGCACTCCCACGTGACAGAAATAGACTAGAAATACTACTTGCTTTGTGTTAAACTGAATTTTACAAGTAGTGGAAGTTGAAGTGTTTAAAATTAAACAAATACAGAAAGATGCGGAGTCAAATTTCAGAGACTTACCTATACATGATGTAACCAATGAATAACACCGTTTGTACCACTACAAATATAACGAAGTGCATCGTAGATAAACATGATGGAAATGGTGGCAGCTCTGGGCATTTTGGTCTTTCATTTGATGGCTATAAGGCAAAAAACTATTACAATTAGTCAAACCGGTATTTTAGAAAAAGAGATAAACATGAAACCTTCATAAAATTCATGGTTAACTACATAAACTCAAGATTTTTATTTATTCGTCCCATAAATATCTTCCATCCCCTTAACTTTTACCACTTTTTTCTTAAAATAAAGCTTACTTGTTTACTTTTTTAGTAGTATCTGTGTCCACCATGAGTCTGGGACTCACACTCATGACCCTGAGATCAAGAACCACCATGTTGTGCTGACTGAGCCCGCCAGGAGCCCCTACCACCGAACTTTCTGGAAGAGTAGCTGACACAGGAAGGCCTCCACCTTCATGGCCCAGTCACTAACACACTGCTGTCTGGCTCGAATCTTCAGCACAGTGATAATGATTGTTTGTGTTCTTGATGGTCACAGACCACAAATTCCCTGGACACACCCAGTTTATCCTTGCTGTACTACACTGATTATTAATTATTATTATTATTATTAATAGTATCCCCTTTATTCTCAAGGAACTGCCTGACAAATACAATGGCTTTTTCTTAGCCCCCATCCTCCCCAACCTCCTAGCAGTCAACATTACTAATCAGTATTTTGAAAAATGTTTCTTTTGGAGCGCCTGAATGGCTCAGTCCGTTAAACATCTGCCGTCCGCCCAGGTCATAATCCCAGGGTCCTAGGGGTGGAGCCCCACATTGGGCTCCCTGCTCAGTGGGGAGCCTGTTTCTCCCTCTCCCTCTGCCTGCTGCTCCCCCTGCTTATGCTTGCTGTCAATAAATAAAATCTTAAAAGAAAAAAAAGTTTCTTTTCCTATTTCCATGGGTATTCTCTCTGTTTTAAGGGGGCAATTAAATACCGGGGCAAAGATTCAATCACGGTATCCTGACAGAACGGCTTGTCTGCACCGTCATGTTTGCACCTGCGGGACAGCGCTCCGCACTGCGTGTGTGCCTGTCCCAGAACCAGACTGCACCCCGCTCCACGGGGCACAGCCGGGGGAAACGGGCCTCAAACAGAACTCAGGGAACAGACCACGACGCTCTGGATGACAGATAATGGTCATTAAGAAAACTCTTAACTCCTATTTGAAAAATGGGAATACCCAAGACATACATAAAAATATAGGTAAGAAAGGCAGTATCCAAAAATATAAAGGAAACAAGATTACATGTTAAAGACTTAAGTTCTTCCCACTAAATAGTTAAGGATCTCAGGAAAGTTAGTTAACAACACATTAACTTTCTTTCCTAAAGTATAATAGTTATTTTTAAAAAACTTTTAAAGCTAGAAAGCTCCACATAACATATAAGATATTAGGGCTTCCGGGAAGGTACACTGGGTAATACGGACCAGCCTCCTAGCAGAAGACAACTAGCAGAGCTAGAAACAAATCCAATCTAAAACAACACCCGTCTGAAGGCAAAGGCAATGAACGAGATGGCAAGAAGTGATGGGATCAGCATTTTTTTGGGCGGTGGGGGGTAGGGGGAAGGCCAGAGAAAGACAACTTCAAATCCATGGATCAGAGAAGAAACTGAAACGGAAATTAGAAAGAGCGCCTGGATGGTTCAGTCAGTTGAGCGTGGGACTCTTGGTTTTGATCAGGTCATGATCTCAGGGTTGTGGGATCAAGCCCTCTGGAAGGCTGTGCTCAGGCTGGCTAAAGATTTCCCAAATTTAATGACAACTATAAACTCACAGAACTAAGATATTAAACCCCAAGCAGAGGAAAAAGAAAACAAAAGCAAAGCATATAATTATCAAACTGTTTAAAATCAGTATCAGAGAGAAAATCTTAAAAGCAGAGAAAAAGAGTACAGAGAAACAAAAGACTGACTTCTCATGAGAAATAATAAAACTATGATACAGTCCCATAATGGGGTTCATGCAACTGTAAGAGGAATAAGGAGTATCTGTGCCCCACTACGACCACACTGGTAAGTGAAAGAAAGCAGGGAGAAGATAAATGTGTACAGTCTGCTACTACCTGTAAAAAAGGGGAAGATTTCATCACAGTTTCTGCTTATATTAAGAAAAGCAACAAACAGTGGACTGAGAAACTACAGTCCCCCCAAACTGCTCCATAATAAGGTAGAAATAAAAAGCACGAGTGTAAAAGTTAGCCTTCTTTGAATCATCTGAGCTTTAATCTAGATACAAATTTATAGGAAACTGACATTGAGTGTAATTATGCAAACGGCCGGCTTCATAATTACCAATACAATCTGTCCCCAGTCTTAGAGCTATTCCATATAGTCCAGCAAGAACGGCCTTGAGCATACCAGTATGTATGTTGTTTTTTAAAGATGTATTTATTTGAGAGGGACAGAGAGAGTGCACACGTTAGAGTCAGGAGAGGAACAGAGGGAAAGAATCCCAAGCAGACTCCCCGCTGAGCACGGAGCCCAACTAGGGGCTTGATCCCACGACACCAAGATCATGATGTGAGCCGAAATCAAGAGCTGGATGGTTAACCAACTGCACCCCACAGGTGCCTGTAGGTATCTGTTTTTTTGTTTTTTTTTTTGCCAGCGTATCTGTGAAAAATGCTAGAAAAAAACAGGACTGATAAAGTAAACCAAAACCCAAACCATACAAACAAAAAAACTTTGAAAAGTGAACCAAGTAAGAGAGGAAGAGTTGCTAGAAAAAAGAAGAATCTTGCTTAAAGAAAGAGGCTACCAGTCAGCCAATGTCAGACGTGCGCTTCCTCGCAGCCCAGACAGAGAAGTGGAGCTACCCAGCACCTGTCTCAGCGAAGGGTCAAGAGACATTCACCTTTGTTCACCTTTCTAAAGCTGTTTAAAGACATTACTACTGATAACAAGAGGCATCTTTAAAAAAAGAAAATTTACAGAAAGAACCTAGAGAACAAAAGTCTGGGACTGACATCGCAATGATAGGAATAGCAATGTATTTTTTAAAGATTCTATTCAACAGGGTATGGAGGGGCGCCCAGGTGGCTCAGTCAGTTAGGCATCTGCCTTCTTCGGCTCAGGTCATGATTGCACAGTCCTGGGATTGAGCCCCACATCTGGCTCCCTGCTCAGCAGGTAGTCAACTTCTCCCTCTTCCTCTGTCCCTCCCCCTCTCACTCACTCATTCACTCTCTCGAATAAATAAATAAAATCCTTAAAAAAATTCTATTTAATAGGGTATGGAAACATGGAATATAAAGACATTTGGATCACATGGAATAATTCTACCTTGAATATGAAAAATGAACATTAGTATTAAGTAAAAAGTTATAAAGCATTTTTCAGTAGAATATGCGTTTATTTGTTTCTAACCAAGGGAGACTAATGATGACAGCAGCAGGAGTCAAGAGCTTACCATGTTTCGCTGCACTAAGTTGTCTATGTCCCGCTTCACGATGTGCAGGTGCTCTTTGATGTCGTTGAAGTGCTGGGTTGACTCATAAACGCTCCCGACAGACCCGGGATGCTGGATGCCGCTGACCAGTCTGACGGTTTCACTCATGGAATTCCTGAAACAGAAATCCCTTTAGACAAGGGAGTTGCTAGAAAAATGATTTTTTTAGTCACATTTTTCGAAAGGTTAGATATACTTCGAAGCCCAATGTTAGATTATTTTAAAAAATCAACATTTAGAAATATTGAATCATATTCAGGATTGGAAAATAATTTTTTTAAAAGATTTTATTTATTTAGGGGAGCCTGGGTGGCTCAGTGTTTAAGCCTCTGCCTTTGGCTCAGGTCATGATGTCAGGGTCTTGGGATGGAGCCCCACATTGGGCTCTCTGCTCAGCAGGGAGCCTGCTTCCCCCTCTCTCTCTGCCTGCTACTCTGCCTACTTGTGATCTCTCTGAGAGAGAGAGAGCAAGAAAGAGAGACAGTGAGTGAGCACAAGTTGGGGGCAAGGGGCAGAGGGAGAAGCAGACCCCCCCCACTGAGCAGATGAGGGACTCATTCCTGTGACTCCAGGATCAGGACCTGATCTGAAGGCAGACACTCAACTGACTGAGCCACCCAGGTGCCTATGGAAAATAATTTATAAAACTGTAAGGGGCGCCTAGGTGCTCAGTCGGTTAAGCATCTGCCTCCAGCTCAGGTCATGATCCCAGAGTCTTGGGATTGAGCCCCACATTGGGCTCCCTGCTCAGTGCGGAGCCTGCTTTTCCCTCTACCCATTACCCTGCTAGTACTTTCTCTCTCTCAAATAAATAAATAAAACCTTAAAAAAAAAAAAAAACCAAAAGCAAAAACAGAGACAGAAGTTTAGAGTGAGAGTACCATCCTTTACTCTCTCTCCGGAAATGAGGGATACTGGCTATGACTATGACCGCCACTAAAATTTTGGAGGGGCTGATGGGGGTACTTCATCATGAACAGTGCAGGCCGACAACATCCAGTTATTAATAACTGTTGCAACTGGGGGGTGGGGTATAAGGGATGGCTTTTATGCTCAACTTCTTTGTATGTTTGAAAATGTCTAAAATGAAAATAAAAACTGGCAAGACGTTCTTTCTGGTCTGCTACAAACTGTAGCTGAAAGTGAGGAGATGATGAAACTACTTCTGACTTTTTATTTTGGGACCTTATACAGTCAGGGCCTTTTTTTCTCTCTTTGTAAACTGAAGGGGGTTGTACTACATGCTTCTGCTTAAAAGAAAAAAAAACTCTACGATTCTCTAAGAATATGAAAATCCACAGACACAAATCAACCGCTCCACAAAGACAAATTTCCTTTCTTTACAGTTTTTTCCTGAAGCCTAATCCAGAAGGAAAAAAGCTCTAGAAGACAAATTTAGACATCGGCGCTCAGTTTTCACTTTCACATACAGGGTGCATGACATTCATTCTCAGTTAGCAAGTGGGAGTTTATGAGGACTGCTAACTACTCTAAGTAAGTGTTTTCATGCATTATACAGCAGATGGCTAGGGTTTACTAATCACTCACTGACTCTTCAGATGTTCTGGTACCATTGGTATGTGAAAATAGCAAAGAACAAAAAGGAGTATCTGGAATATAGTAACATTTGTGTAAGAAAGAAGGGGATCTAAGAAAATACACATGTGCAGACAAAGTACAGGAAGAACAAACCATGCTCAGGTCATGATCCCAGAGACCTGGGATTGAGTCCACATTGGACTCCCTGCTCAGCAGGGAGCCTGCTTCTCCCTCTGCCTCTGCCTGCCGCTCCCCCTGCTTGTGCTCTGTCAAATAAATAAATAAAATCTTAAAAAAATAAAATAAACAAGTAAATACATTTTAGAGGATAAAAAATAGGTTTCTCCTTCCTGGAGAAAGAATTTTCAAAGAAGGAAAGAAGAAGGTGAAAATCAACCTATAATGTTCAGTCAAGTCTAGTCCAACCAGAATCCAAAGTGTCTGGATAATCTCAGGGTCTTTTTAATACAAATAAGAGTGATGGGCACAAAAATAAAGATATGCGCGTCTGAGTGGGTTAGTAGACATTCACATATTCCCTAGCTCTGTCCACTGAGAGGGCCTAGGAGCAGTGGCACCACACGGATAGTGAGCACACCTACTGTCCAGATCTTGGGTTTCTAAATACTTTTCTTTAATAAAAGGATCCAGGGCTCACCAGAGAAGTGGTTGATTCTAGAGCTGGGGCAGAGAAAACACAAAATGAGCCTGAAACACGGTGTAGCACCAGAAAGTTAAGAAATGCTTTAAAAAAAGATGGGAGCTTTTTGAAAGAACACAGAAGCCAACCTGGAGGAGTTCTTAATCACCACAGCAGAATCGTCTGCGCAGTAAAAAATGACAGTATGGGATTGCAACCCACAGAATACATATCCATGAGCCCGTACGACATAAATAATTGATTAAAATAAATAAATGGGGCAGAAGAGACCCAGTCCTTACAGAATTCCAATGAACGCATGGGAAGGAATGATGAAAATAGAAAAAAAAAAAAAAATCAGCATTTGGGAAACATCTCGTTCTTGTTTCAGACAAAACGTCAACGGATGCTACAATTAGCAAGCAAAAGTTTAAACTGAAACAGGATATTTACATTATTTACATAGTCCCAAAGTTCCTTTTCCAAAATGTATTTAGGCAGTAAGGGAAAGACAGTAACTTTAAAGTACAGAAAGCAGAAAGGAACCACCTTAACCAAGTGACCCCAGCCAGTGTCAGCTCAGTGAGCCGTACGGACATCGTGACCGTGACACAGTGTTGTATTCTCGTCAAGAACACAGAACTTCCATCCAGTCATGAGTCAGCACCAGCCGGACCCCAAACCTGGAGACAGTGGGCCGAAGAACGGACAGAAACTGTCACGGTCATGAAAGACAAGAGGAGATGAACTACTTCAGACTGCAGAAGTCTGAAGAGAGAGAACTAGATGCAATGCGTGTTGCTGGACACGATCCTGGAACAGAAAACAGGGCATGCGTGGAAAGTGGGTGAAATCTGAGTAAGATCATCAGTTTAGTTAATAGTACTGCACTGCTGTTCATTTCCTGGCTCTGCCAACTTGTGCTACGGTTACATAAGTCATGAACATTAGGGGAAGATGGCGAGGAATATACGGAAATTGTGCTATTTTTGCAATGTCTGAAGTCTAAAATTAGATCAAAATAAAGATTTCAAAAATAATATCAAATGATCCTTTTATGAAATTTATGAAAAAAAAATTTTTTTAAAGACTTTATTTATTTGACAGAGAGAGCAAGACAGCACAAGCAGGGGGAGCAGCAGGTAGAGGGAAAGGGAGAAGCGGACTCCCCGGTCAGCAGAGAGTCCAACGCGGGGCTCAATCCCAGGACCCTGGGATCATGACCTGAGCCGAAGGCAGACCCTTAACTGACTGAGCTACCCAGGTGCCCCTTTTTCTGAAAGAATTCATTCATTTAGGATCGTAAATATTTTAATCATGAGTTTACAACTTAAAAATTTTTTAAAATGTCAGATAGTATAAGTGAAAAGAAGTCCAAATTTGCAGTTACAAGTGGGGCTGCCTTTAATCTCTAGGTGTGGATATTATCACCTGTTTAACCCAATACTGTTTAATTTTCCAGTGCTAAAGAACTCACCTTGACATTCTTGTTTGTCAAGGGTTGTACTGGTTGGTGCAATGCTCTAAAAAGTGAGCTTATAAAACGTAACACTTTGGCTATTTCTCTACTCTAGGCATTGAAAGCTGTTAAGTGTAAGTGAATACTTTTTAGCAACTTATTCAAAGTTCCAAGGACACAGTAACTCCTCTCTGTTCCAACTCTGTCCAGTCTCTCTTAGGGTACAAGATGGAATGGAAGAGAGGTAGTCACACATGGCACGTTTCCTTGGAAATGGTTCCATTCCATCACAAAGAAGTTCCTGCATCAGGCATGCTTGTATCACAGTTCTACAATGCTATGCATGCTTATCCTTCTAGGATTTTTCACAGATACTACTACGCATATTCTTTTTTATTTTTTTTTTTTTTGACAAAGAGAGAGAGAAATTGTGATTTCTCTCTCTCTCTCTGTCAAAAAAAAAAAGAGAGGCAGGCAGAGAGAGGGGGGATGCAGGATCCCCGCTGAGCAGAGAGCCAGATGCAGGGCTCGATCCCAGGACCCCGAGATCACGACCTGAGCCGAAGGCAGAGGCTTAACCCACTGAGCCACCCAGGTGCCCCTACACATACTCTTTTTATTTTAGAAATGTACGAATACTCGTCTCAAGTAGCTATGCAAATGTATTTTTTTAAAGATGCTAAAGTATTTTTTCTCTTCTGATTTAGAACAACTCAAACATTTAGGCCTACTGGCAGTTTCTGAACATCAAAAGTTCCCGTACTTTCCACTCCCTGATTTATAAACTGAATCTAGAATGTGATTCTTATCCTCTTGTGGAATTCTTACAATAATAATGTGCTTGCACAGAGGGAGAGAGAAGTCATGAATTTTGGATAAATGTATCACCTAACACTCAGACATGACTTCTGCAGACTTACTTCATTTCGTTTACTTGTCTCAGGATCTCATGCTGAGTGTTCACAACGGTATCCAGCTCTTGCTGGGTGATCTAGAAGGAAAGCAGAAGAACCCAGTTCTGTAGGAGCACAAGGCAGAGTACCCTTTCTTTCCTCTGTGCCTCCTCCTCCATCAGAGGCTACCTACGGCACACACGCCTGTCTGGAAAGCTCACCTGTCCCTGCTGGGCTGGGATTCCCGGCCCTCTTTTAGCAAACTCCTCTGTCAGCGAAGAGACCCATCTTCTCTGTTCATCAAGAATCATATCTAACTGTCGGTTCAGCTGCTTGATTTCAAGATGGATACGATTCTGTCCTTCGAAGATTTGTCTCAGCTCGCGGTCTCCTACACTCTCAAATATTTCATCCGCTGAAATGGAAATTGCAAATTAAAATGATCAAAATCACCGACGTGTAGTTTTTGCAATACCGTAAGTGACTGAAGCATCAGTATATACTAAAATTAGGACATCACCAGTATGATCTACTCCAGTGGTATGAGCTCCTCAATAGTAAATATGCAGATAGTCAATTCAATCATGACAAAATTACTATATGCTTTTTGCCACGTATGGTGGCTGAACACCTATAAATTAGTTCTGAAAGTTTTTCACCTAAAAATAATCTTCTTTCAAATATATTATATGATTCTATTTATATGAAAAGGTAAAACTAATCTATGCTACTAGAATCAGGAATAGTGGTTGTCCCTGCGGAGCGGGACTGACTTGGAAGAGGCATGAGTGAACACCCTGGGGTGGTAAAAATATTCTATGTGTTGACTGAGTGACAATTAAGTGGGTATACAAGTCTGTCATAATTCATCAAACTACACTTTTAAAATCTGTGCCTTTCACTTAGGTAACAAATTTAATAATGGAGTTGAGAACAGCTGATTTTCCTTGTAAAACTGTGCTGAAAATCATTTCATTCAAACATTTACTACAGTAAGCTTCAGGATATTCTCAGGAATCGTATGTGATATTTAAAAAAAATCCAAGAAGAGAATTAAATTCATTTTTCATTTTTATCTTCATTAAGTCCGATTTATATTATTGATCATTCAGAGAATCACATACTCTAAGGAATACAAAAGCTAGCTGTGGCTTTGTTAAATACAGCTTCGATCTATGCCGGTGGGAACAATCCAGATAAAACTTAGCAGATAATATAAAGCCACTCTACTTGGACCTCTCATGTTTTATTTTTGACCCATAGCACACTTAAGTTCAACAATGGCTTAGACTAATTATTTTAAAATTTGCAAAATCTTCAAATCCAGAGTTCTGCTGAGCAGTAAGGGGAGGAGAACTAGAGATCATTTCATATTACTTTCACAAGATTTTGTTATTTTCCCAGTATTATCTCTATATTAATAAGCTAATATGTGCCACTCAAAGGAAAGACATAAACTTTGTATGATTTCATTCCACAAATATTTAGAGTCTCAACTACTAGGTCACGTTGGTTTTTTGTTTTGTTTTGTTTTTTAAGGTTTGGGGGGTCACGGGAGTCAACAGAAAAACAGAATCCCTGTTCTCACAGAGCCTGCACTTGGAGGGATCACTGTTCATCCATTTTACCCAGTATCGCCCACCAAAGGCTTTCCTAAGCCACACCCTTACTGATAGAAACATCAACCTCCAAGCCTTATGACAGAAGACTTGCTCATAGATTGCTTCTGGAAACTGTCTGGATATGCCAGACAAGAGCTCAAGGATGGGATGAATGTGTGTGCCGCGACCCCCATGTGGCTCTGAGCACAACTTCCTCCAACTCACCAGGATGCCCCTGAAGGTCAGGGTGGCCCTTCTGGAATTCCTCCTTTTTTTTATCCAATTCTTGTTGAAAGTGCTCAAATTCCTCCTGATACTTTTCTTTTTCTTTTTCTGAAATTTCTTTATCTGGCGTAGGCTTATTTTGGAATTTAGGGATAGATCATTAAAAAAAAATTTAAAAGATAAGAAAATATTAAACCTCAGTATACTTTTTTTTCCTCCTTCATTTTAACTACTCAACCACTAGTTGAAAGGTTAACATAAAAATATTAACCATTTTACTCTTGCTACTAATAATTACAACAAATCAGTAACACTAGCCACTACCATTTATTGAGTGCACGGTCTTATTTAATGCTCATGACACCATGAGGTAGCCGGTACCAATGTCTCAGTTTTACCAGTGAAGAAACAGAGCGGTACAGAGGTTAAGCCACTTTCACAAGATTAAACAGCAATAACAGGCAGAAACAAGACCCAAATCTAAGTTGGACCTCCCAAGTTTTCAGCTACAGGGAGATACCAATAAACTGGAAGTCAACTTTTTTGGGGAAAAAAAAAATGTGTATACTTACCAGCTCTTTCCCAGGCTCAGTCAACTGGAAGGTCAGAAAAGAAAGGACATCATGGTCATCTACAAAATTAAAAAAAAAAAAAAATCTGAAAAAGTTCCACAATAGATTATTTTTACCGCTGTGAAGTTACTTTAGAGAGATCTAGTGCTTTAAAAATAATCTGTGAAAAATAACAAAAATCAGCTCTCATCTGGTAAAGGCAACGGAGCTTTGTGAGCTTAGAGATGAAAATTCACCAGAAAAATTTACATCAGAAATAAACTAAAATTCACTTTATTTTATCTTAAACCAGAATATTTAACAGTGTTTAATATATGACAGATAATTAATAAGTAAGGGTATAAAGGTTAATAATAAATAAGGGATAAAGGAATAAAAAAACAAATGAGGAATCAAAAGAAAGCCTAAACCCTTAAACCTGACACCAAGAACTTCCCATATCTTCCCACAAATCTCCTTTATAGGCAGTGTCCCAGCCAAATGAGACAAAATCCTGTCCTTCATGTATTTCTGGACCTCTCAACCTTTCTTACAGTACTTACCACTACTTGGCCTTACTTTCTTGTTATAAACTTGACATTGCTTTGTCCTGGCTTACTGCGATAGTCCTGATTTATTCATGCTGTCTTGGTATTACTAACAGCATCTTCTTTTATTCGCCAAGCATTCCAATTAGATAATATGATGATTCTATCTATACAATATTCATCTCTGTTTCCCTCACATAGCAGATATTAACAATTTTACTTAATCTAAAATCATATTTTAAAAATCAAATTAATTTCAGGCTGCTTAAGCTGGAAACACACTTAGCAGATCAAACCTCATAATGCTGACCTAAAATACCAATCCTGGAGAGTCACGTCTGCAAAGCAAGCGCAATTAATTCCAACCAGTGATCTCTATGCTTTCTGCCACTGTTATGAAGATTGAGATATGCAACCAGATGAAAGAGAAAACTCTAACACTCTAGGTGTGTAAGCTACCTAACCTCAGGAGATGTTCAGTGTGATAGAGCACTGGACTCAGGAGTCAGAAATTCAAACGAAGTCCTGCCTTGGTTTGACCATTACTGGCTATATAGTATTTATAATGTACTTTAATGTAAGATTTGGCACACTTAACTAAAAATAGGGTAAATACCATCTATTCTCTCTCTCTCCCTCCTTGTGATGTTGTAAGGAACAATTATATATTTGAAAATAATAAAAAATTATACCATGTACCATGTAAACACAACATGATATATATATTTTTTAAACACAAGATGGTATTAATGTGAGAAGTTCATTTATTACCAAATGTGGGGCAAAAATGGTAAATATGTCTTGTTTAAGCTTTAGTCCCAGTAATATTTCCTTAGGCTACCAAATTCACTTAAATGTGCTGTGACAACTTTCAGGATCCTAAACCACTTGGCAATTAACCTATTTCAGCCTTGACTTTAAATATCAACCATCAGTTGTCTGCGGCCCCAGCCAACTGTATACCTACAGAGTATCAGCAGAAAATGAGCAGATTCAAGATACCAAAAGACTGGCTCTGCAGTACCCCTCGTCTTAAAAGGCTGAGAGGAGACAAGTCTACAAATCTCCCAGTAGACTGTTCCCACTGAAACTCAATTCACGAACTTGTAACATTAAAAGATGGCAAGACTTACCTGCAAGACCTCCAGTTGCAGCCGATACTCCAAAATGCCCTTGGGAAGGGAGAGCCAGATTGTCCGCTCTGGCGCAAAATTCATAGTCATTTTTATCTGGTGTGAAGCCATTATTGATCATTACCTAAAAAAGACATACTACAGCTATAGCTTTTACAACAGGCATTGTAAAATGAATTTCAAATAGTCAATTTATGACTAACTGATCTTTATATTTGGTCTCCTAGCCAACCGTCAAAAAGCGATCAGTTTTCTCTATTATAAAGGGTAATCCCCTGTCCATGTATAACCTCACTTATTTAGCATCATTATATGAGATATTTCACTTCGAAGTTTTTATCCTACAATGTGTCAAAGGCTTAAAGAGAAATATTTGATAATGTTCCATGAAAATCTTTCTAAAATAGAAGACTCAGGGAACCATGATGACTTCCTTTGAATGGTTCATACAGAAGAGGGACCAGATTTGGTCAAAAACCCCAGTGTCAGAGCTCAAACAAATAAGATGAATTTATAATTTTTACCACAGCTAGTTGGGAATTAAATATAATTATATTAAATTAAATAGACTGCCATGCAAGGAGTGAGCTTCTCTTCATTCAGTTGGGGAGGGGGTGTGACTGCTTGTGTTCCCTCTCTCGCTGTGTCTCTCTCTGTCAAATAAATAAGTAAAATCTTAAAAAAAAAAAAAAAAAAAAAAAGACTGAGCCAATATTAAAGTCTTCCAAAGAACTGAGACAGGAGAAAGAAAAATTTAAACAAGATGTTTTTTATTTATTAGTATGATGGCATTGATGGTACCTTTAACAAGCAAAGTTCCCATGATATTAGAAGAACTGCTAGCTGGATATACCCACTTTATTTATTTTTTTTGAAGATTTTATTTATTTATTTGAGACAGAGTGAGAGAGCACAAGCAGGGGAAGCAGCAAAAGGAGAAGGAGAAGGAGAGGCAGACTCCCTGCTAAGGGGCTGGATTCTAGGACCCTGGGATCAGGACCTGAGACAAAGACAGACGCTTAACTGACTGAGCCACCCAGGTGCCGCAGGATATACCCACTTTACATAAATATTGCCCTGAATTCAAGCTGTCTAAAACTAAACTCCTTACCAACCCTCTGCCCTCCCACTCCTCACTCAAACTCAGATGCTGCTTCCTGGCTTAGGTGTACAACTGGCCAGAAATCCCGGAACCATCTTTGAGTCCCCACTGCACACACCCTCCCACCCCCTAGCACAGTCTCTCCCTCCTGATCACCTCTCCTCTCTTCTTCCCTTTCCCCTGGCTCAGACAGCAAGTGGAGTCTCGAAGGGAAGGAGGCACTCGGTTCACATCACAGTTGTGTTACTTACGTGGTACATTAGTTAACAATATGGTATGTTAAGTAACAATAAGTTACTTAAAATGTTCCATATCCCACTTCCCTGTGTATAAGATGGGGATGCCTGCCCCATAGGGATGTCAGAAAAAATAAGTGGGACACTGCACTTAAAAAGACAGAGCACAGGGAATGGCCCACTAAGTGCAGCGCCTCCTTTCACAAATGCCATTTTAAGAACACTGCTGCCTAAGTCATCTGCCCAAACCGCAAACTGGATCATTTCACTTTCCTGCTTAAAACTTTCAGCAGTTCCTTACAGGATAAACTACCCAAGGCCTGTGTGACTTGCCACCATGGACCTTTCAACCCCACTCCCCAGACTCCTCTATCCCCTCTATTCAACCCTATTCAACCCAACTCCTCTATCCCCAGCCATTCCAAATCACGTGCCTTTCCCCAATCTTTCACCAGTCCCTGTGCCTGTTTTCTCTGCCTGGAACATGCACCACGTCTCAGAAAAGTCCCCCCTTCCCCTTCCTGGTGCAGCTCAGCTCTGAGAAACTGTTCCTGACCTTCTCCGCTCCCAGCTGCAGTTACAAGATGCTAACCCCTTGATTCCTTAATGGTACGTGTGCTGTGACACACCTCCCATCTAGCACAGTAATGTTACACAAGTATCTTCCCTCCACTAGACTACAAGCTCTTTGGAGAAAATGAGCTTTCTCTTACTCAGATCCGTATCTGGATGGCTCAGATATGTATGTAATGTGTGGCATCTAGCAAGTAAGATGCTTAAACGTACTGATGAATGCAAACCTATGGGCAAGTTTTAACACCACATGACTACTTAGGCCAAGCTCTGAAGACACTTCTGTTCTCTCATAGTAATGCTGAATACGTAAACCGATACCCAAACTTACATGCCTTTAATTTTTATCAAAGATTCAGAATGAAAAGTCCACTAGAATGTTGTTCATTTGAGCATCTCTTAAGTGCGTGTTACTTACCATCAGTGTTTTCTGGTAATACGTAATCTTTGCCCGGACAGGATAGGGTTTATTACGAAAGTCCCTCTGGCAACTTGCTAAAGCTTGACTAGCACCATCACTAGAGTATGAAGAAAGGGAAAACAAACAAAAAACGTCAGAAAGCTTCTCAGTACTTAAAAATTCACTACTTAAAATGATCAGCGTCCAGAAAGGGAATATATTATTAAGTTATGACAGTCTTAGGACATTTGAAGTTACTTACTCAGAAGACACAAAGTTAATGCACAAGTTTTTCCCTGTGATTCCTGTCAGAACTATGGATAACATCAGAAGCCAATGTGCTGACAGCAAGAAGAAAGTTTTACTTTTCTGAGATGAGGGCGAAATCCTCCTTTATGTCAGGGCAGAATCAAAATACACTGGAGCTTTTCATTTATTTATTTATTTTACATTGGAGCTTTTAAAATGCATATGCCTAGATCCTACCCCAAGTCAAGGGAAGGAGACTCAGGAGGAGGTGGCCTTGGCACCTCTGGTTTAAACAGCTCCACAGGGGGTCTTGATAAACTAGGAGGAAACAGTAAATGGAAATGCAGATGAGTAACTTTTCTTACAGTTCCTGATTGGCTCAAAGGTAATTCCTCCCACAACAAACATGTAAAAATTAACAATGTACATGCCTAATTCACACACATTATAAATATACTAAACACTTAGAAATTTTGTAGCCTACTGGGAATCTTTAAATAAATCAACATGCAGGATGTATGCGGTGGTGTAAATCTCTCAGCCATTAGTTTGGTTAAGGATTTCAACTTTATTTTTGAAAGATGAAAGAAACATGACTAAGGGCATCACCAAGAACCAGGAACATTTTATAAATCTTTCAAAATATTACATAGTTTTCGGTTCAATAAAACAAGTCTTTTTTATGTTTGAAATCTGAGGTGGTCCATAGAATGAACTTTCATCCAGGACCAAATTTAAAAAAGACCTTTCTACCAAGTTACAAAATACATCTCAAGAAAAAGGATAATCTTATTTCATCTGAAAAATATTCAGACTTGAAATAATCTCTTTTTACAAGGTTTCTAAAAAGTTGTTGCAACCAAGTAATATAAAAAACATACACTTACTTTTGATGGTCATAATGGATTTGTCCACTGTTGCCTATAATTACTATAGCAGGATTATTTTTCTAAAAATAAAAAGAATGTATTTCGTTTTAAAGTCCTTAGGTCAAAGAATTCTAGATCATTCTAGAAGTGCTGTAAAGTCTCTTATTTCTCTAAAATTCTAGGGCTCAAAATTTTAAAGTAATTAATAGAAAAGATTCTATTTATTTAGAAAAAATTTAGTAAACTCTATTATAATCATTCAAAGACAGTCTCTAAACACCTCAATAAAGACGTGTGTGTGTGTGTGTGTGTGTGTGTGAGAGAGAGAGAGAGAGAGAGAGAGAGAGAGAGAATATGATCAACTACAACACATATTTGAGGACTATGTGGGACACGTGTGAGACCCAAGGGAGCTTAGTAACAGGACTAGTATGCGCCAGCATTTAAGAAGTTATTAAAATTCTTTTAAATTGCTAATAATAACCCATGACAATCAGCAGAGAAACTACCAGCTGAAACAAAGATCATCAATCTTAAGGCTAACACAGCACAAGTTAATGTCACTAAATCACAAGTACATTTTGTTCTGAACTGTTTTAGGCTCTCCTAAAGACATCATCAGAGAAACTGGCAGATCAAAAAGAGTGATTAACTTATAAAAAGGTATTAATATGTGAGCTAGTAATAGTAAAGCACAGGGTATTTTCATGAAAACAGACTATAATCCTAAACACTGCTGGTTCCACTGCCTACCTCTAAATGACTCAGGCTTATACATCAAAATTACTACACGCATACAGGGTGCTGCTGAGGGAGGTCACTGCAAAGTTCTCAGAGTTAGAACTCCATTACGACCTCCAGTTGGTGCATGACAAATCAGGAACAAAGAGCTTTAAAATTTCCAAAGTCTCGGTTATATACAAGACTAATCATCATACTTAAAATAGAGTTTGGAGATTTCTCAAACTACTAACCAGACCAAAGTGTTAAATAAGCTGTATTTCTCACAGCCTAACTTTGTTAGCAGATGTATTCAAGTAGGTAATAGTTCTGACAACAAATATACCTTTCCATCATTGTCGAAAGAATCAAAAAATATCCCAACACCATTCCACATATCAGCTGATCCAAACACAGGACCCTCCAAGCCTTGATTTTCTGTATACCAAATTGCCTGTAAATATATAACAAGGGACATTCAGAGGCTAGTGGTATATGCACTGATGCACATATGCACGGATATACATATGCATCGATATTTGTACGCACCGATACACAGGTAAAGAAATGATCATACCAGGCCGTCAGCTCCAATTCGACCTCTTCCAGTCACTCGAAATGTCACCTCAACTTCCCAGTTCTCAAAGGCTGCTTTCGTCTTTGTCCACACTGATCCTCTCTGGCTTTTTAAAGATGGTGCTATTCGAATTTGATCTGAACTTGGAATAGCATCTGGAACAAAAATCAGGGAAGAAGAGCTTTAGGTTATAATTAGGTAAAACTCAACGAACCATCACCAAACTGTTCCATATGCCGAGAGAGATCTAATTTTAACTTGGTAACCTGTACAATAATTTTGTTAGGAAAAAATTACACATTGATAGTTTCAACTTTAAAACTTTAGAGCTTTTGGGGCACCTGGATGGCTCAGTTGGTTAAGTGTCTGCCTTCAGCTCAGGTCATGATCCCAGAGTCCTAGGAGAGGGCCCTGTGGCCGGGTCCCTTATCAGCAGAGAGAATGCTTCTCCCTCTGCCCCTTACTGAGCTTGTGCTCTCTCTCTCTCTCTCAAATAAATAAATAAATAAAAATTTTTAAGAAATAAAAAATAAAATATTTTAAAAATAGTAAGAAAATAAAATAGAATTTTAGAGCTTTCTAACAGCCTTCCCACCCCCATCTTTTGCATAGTGAAATACTTCTGGAAAAAAATTAATGCTGCAATACATTAAAAATTCAAGGGGCAGGAGGAAGGAAATTATGACTTAAAAAGCAAATCAACTATTTGATTCCCATTATATTCTTTTTCAAGTATCTCAAAAACTTGCATATTATTTTTTTTTAAACTGTGAACCATTTTAGCAGTTTACAAATGTCAGAAAGCTGAAACAGTGTGAAAAGAACATACCACTAGGAATCAAGAGACTTATTCCTAGTCTCAGTTCAGCTGTGTGACTCTGAGCAAATATTCTTACTGTCTTGGGTTCACCATATGTTCACCTGTAAAATGAAGGGGCTAGGCTCAATCACTTCTAAAAATCCCAAAAGTTATATGCAAAATTTTGTGCATATATGCATTCTTCTAGGGAGAGGGTCAACTGAATTTCAAGTCAATAAACAGTTCTTCAGTGTCAGCAGATTCTCAGAGAGAACTGTGATCCCCAAAATGGTGGTTTGCATCTCCAAGCTAGGTTCAAATCCCAGCTCCACCACTTACTAGCTGTTTGATTACAGGTAAGTGATTCCGTTTCTCTAATAACCTCACAGGCATATAATGTACAGAAATATTTCAGAAAACGTTAGCTAGTCCTGTTATAGAACTAGATACTATCATAGCACCTATCAGGCCTAAGTTTGAACAATTCTAACACATCCTCTCAGATTATTATATTATTATATTAACGAATTCTGACATCCATTCTGGGAAATAACTGTATTATGTCTTTACAGGTAGGAAAAACTGACGGAAGACAAGCTGAGGTACTTTATTAAGATCAGCCACTGTCACCAACACTTTCAAGCACTTAAACACTGGGGAAAGCCTCATGAGAAGAGTAGCAGACACAGATTCAGAAGACCTGGACAGGGGTTCTAGTCTACTGACACCAGTTATGTCCCTTCCAAGAACCTTACTTTTCTGAACAGCAGTTTTTTCATCTCTAAGACAGAGAACACCTGCCTTGCCTACAAATGATCAAATCAGAAAATGAAGGTGAAAGAGCTCTGAGAGCTACAAAGGGTTACAAATTGCTGTGATCAGTTTTGTGCCCTTATGAACCCAGGATGTGTACTAACAGTACAAAAGGCCATTAGAGTTAAGAAAGAAACACCATCGATTTGATCTTCATTTAGGGATGAATGTAATGGGCCATGTTTAAACTGAATCTCAAATTTCTCTATTTATAAAAACTGCTGTAAATAGTGGATCTCAGGGTAAAATGAGAAGGGAAAAAATGATCAATGGAGTTAAGAAAACAGTGAGACTGTAAAAGTTACAGCGATAATGAAAGCAAGGGGTATTCACAGCAGGGATTCCCAGAGTCAGTATCCAGAAAAGTCAGGACTAAAACACGAATCCCTTTATTTCAAGTTCAGTCTAGTCATCCAACTTTAATTCACCCAGGTATACTACCTGACATTTTTGCAGCAGACAAGCTTAGTTGGGTATAGGCTCTGTAGAGAAAGTCAAGTTAGCTAATCTGAGTAGTTAACATTAATTGACTGATGTACATGGCATAAGTGTGAAAGAAGAAAAAGCAGGCAAGGGAGAGATGCAGAAGTGAAAAAAAGTGTGAGCAAATTCATCACCACTATTGAAAACTTCAGCATCATTCCAAAACAAGAATCAAAAACCCCCAAAACTTGTGTTTGGTACACCTGCAGCATCTTTGTTTATTAGGAACAATGTTACCTTGATAACAAAAGCCCAGCAATAAATCCTCAATGAGCGGGCACAGAGAAAATGCCTGCTGAGAAACAAAATAATTGTACTCTACTTCGAATACTTAATGACTTGGTCATTAAGTCAAATTGAAATTTTTACCTTCAAATTATATATTAATTTCAGTGAAATGCTCCCTCCTTAGAGTGTGTTTCCTACTCAGTAATTTCTGGAAATGGAATATTTTTTCTGGAAATGGAATATTTTGTTTCAAGCACCTGACATTCTAAAACGAGGTATACAAACCTTTTATAAATGACTGTTTAATTACACATAATGAATGGAACCCAAAATGACAGAACTTCTCACCCCGTAAAAAGGCATTTGCCACTTGTTTCAAAGGATGCATCTGATGGTCACTGAACAGAGCTTACAGCATGCCAAGTGTGAGGGCTGATTCCTTAGTCAGCAGTGACACATCAGCACTAGAAAGTACAGATACGTTTTCTTTCACGTATGTAAATGGCTAGCAAGGCTCTCTTACCTACTAACAGTGACAAACATACAAAGGGAATAAAACAAGGAGCACAGATTACTTTCAATTAAAAAAAAAACTATAACTCTGAAGAGGCTGTATATGTAATGTTATTTTCATGTATTAAGTGCAGAAACAATACCAAAAAATATATCCCTTCTTCTAAATAAACGGAGGAGTGCGACTCATGTTACATAACGTGTTAATACAACTGAAAAGATCAAAGCCCACACCAAGCCACTGAAAGAGGCAAATTCAAGGTGTAGTAGTTCCAGTAGCGTAACAATGTCCTCGGACATAAGAAGACTTAAAAACTACTTTAAAACCAACATATGCCATCTCTAGAGTCATCGGGGGTACACACTGGAGCATTAACCATTGCTAGCACCGGAGACAAGACCGCAGGGGAGGACCGAGCGGGAAAGGAGGTAGGGAAGCTCCGCGAACAAGTCTCAGGTTGGGATGGCCGGGGGTGGGGCTGCGGGGCGTTCGCGTTGAGACGTGGCGTTTAGGGTGAAACGTGATGCTTAGAAGAGAGTTTTAATGCTTGAAGTATAGGAAAGTAACAAAACACCTCGTGACCGAACGGAAAGAACGGGCGAGATCAAAGAAAAGAGGACAGGAGGACGAGGGGTGGGCAGAACGGGGGGAAGAGCCGGGCGCAGGCGGAGAGCCCTGCGGACCAGAGCCGACCTGCAGGAGGGGCTGCTGAGAAGGATCCGCCGCGCCAGTGGTGTGCAGCAGGGAGAGGGTAGAGAAGAGGAGACCCAAGGCGGGGAAGGGACCCTGGCCTCCCGCCCTCTTTCCCGGCTTACTCCCCGCGTGGGCCCAGAAGGGCACTGTCCCGTCGCTCTGCACCAGGTGCGGTCCCTTGAAGCTGTATTTGTACTCGAAACGCCGGTGTGGCGACCCGGCTGCGGTGCCCGCGGCACCAGTAGCCGCAGGGTCGCCTCCCATGCCGTCGCTCCCGGCGAAGCGACTAAGCGACAGCAGTAGGGCGCAGAAAAGAGGCCGAACTCTGGCCTGGGGACCCCTTTGCCTGGATCCCGCCATCTTGGATTCTAGGAAGCGGAGGCCGGCGGGAGGAGGAGGGGCGCGGGAGCTGCGGACGGCCAACAGGGCGCTCGCTGATTGGCGGAGCCCGAGAGACCCCGAGGGCAAGGGTGAGCCCCGCCCCCGGACTCGGCTAGCCCGCGGCGGACTCGGGGCATCAGTGGGCGGAGCCCCAAGGGAGGGGGCGGGGCCTGGAGGCGGTGCTGTCCGCGAGCTCCTCCCTTCCTCTTTGGGGCGGGAAAAGGTCTCCAACATTAACATTCCCTTCCCACGTGATTGGGAGTGTTGGAGGAGTGGACCACGTTCCTACCTGCAAGAATCTTTTTCCTTAAAAAAAAAAAAAAGTAACAATCTTTTTTCCTGCCTCATGACATGCCTTAGAGGTGGAATTCTGGAGAGTGCCTGGATGGCTCAGTGGGTTAAGCATCTGGGTTCAGGGTCCTGCCATAGAGTCCCTCATAGGACTCCTTTGGTCCCTACGGTGCCTGCTTCTCTCTCTCTGTCGCTCATGAATTATGAAAGAAAAAAAAAAAAAAAGAGAGAGAGATGGAATTCCTGAGCCCTAACACCTGTGGACCTACTCACCACATCTGTCCTGTCTGGCTATAATAAACCATTCCAGTATTAGAAGAAAGTCTGATGTGATAACGATTGTTCAGTAGCTGGTTTTCTTGTTGAAACAAGTCTTTCCAAAAACAAGGCATAGTTTGGTGATAGGATGGTCCCACCCTACTAAGCTCCATCAACCTGCGTTCAGGCATTTCAAACAGAGAGCCATGAATATCAAGCTAGGGAGTTTGCCTATTCCCCTTGAAAATGGGAAGTATCTGTAGTGGTCTTAAAGGAGAAGAAAAACAGGGGCAGGTTCTTGTTGAGAGAGAACCCCTAGAGGAGAGATGACTAGTGTCTGAAACCAGAGTAGGGCAATCGAAAGAAAAGACACAAGAGAACTTGCCACAGTGAATAAATTCAAAACAGAAGCTTTACCTATTTCTCTCCTAATCCCACCTCAGCACACCAGCCACTTTGTATTTCCTTAGGTTTGCCTTTCAGTTGAAGTAATGACTGCCTAGGTGGATATTACTAAACACCTACACACTATCTGTTCCTCCTTTTGTTCTGTTCAGAACACCATTTTGTTCAGGGTGGCAAGCTGTAGAGCCAAAATACTCATTTCTCCAGGCTGCAGGTCATTTAATGAGAGGTAGGCAGAAATGCCTGAGGAGAGAGTCAGATACCAAATAAAAAGGTAAAACTTCACTGGGTGAAGACCTTTCCTTTTCCCTGTTTGTGGGGCTTCCTGCCTGAAAGTGTATGCAACGCCTAGAGAGCAGCAGCCATCTTGTGACCACTAAAAATGATGGCCCAAGAAGCCAGAGGAGCCCCGATCTTTAATGATTCCCTTGAGCTCTCTGGCAGGCCAAGTCTGCCTATCTCCAGACTTCTGTTTTCTGAGATAAGACTCTCACTCATTTAAGCTATTATTTCCAGGTTTTGTTACCTGCAATCCTAACCGATATCATAGCTCCCATGTATTGAGAGCTACTATGTATCAGGCCCCATTCAGGGTGATACACATACATTTACTCATTTAGGAGGAAATTAACCCAGTATTTTCATTTGACATCAAGGCTTTGCCCTAGCTATTTCATTGATAAGAAACAATCCTCTTTCTCAAACTATATGTCTATCTTCCCTAAAATGACACATTAAACATCTTAAAAGCCCTTCTTCAAGTTTTTCCCAATTATAAATCAGTCATGAATGGTTTCCCTTCGCTTCTTTACAACAGGATGACATTTTACCTGTGGGTCAATACCATAAGGTTGGTTTTTTTGTTTGTTTGTCTTTTGTCTTTAATATCTAAGTTTTGTAAAATACAGCAAAAAGGGATTTTGTACCACCCTCTAGTGCCTGAGTCAATTTTCCAAAAAATTAAGCTACAATTTTTAAGCCAGAAATTCCAAATAAATTATGGAAGTCTCTCCCCATCCTACTGAGCCCAGCACAGATATAAGACATGAAGTAGCAGCACCGTAGCTCACTTTGATAACTGATTCCTTGCAACTCCTTCTTGGTAAGAGCAGTGACTCATTGTGTGCCTCTCCTGGTTTTAGTGTCTTAGATGCCAGAAGACTGACTGGACTGTCCCACTCAACAAATCTATGATGTTGCTTTGCTCTTAAATGAGTAAAAAGACCAGGAGCAGAGTGGGAGGCATCTTTTCTGTGGATCAATGTATTGTTTTTCTATAATTGGTGATCAATTAAAAAAATTTTTTTTTAAACCCATCTACATTACCCTTACCAGTGGTACTCATTCTTGTTGGCTAGAGTCAGGGATAAAACTCTGTGGTCCATGAGACACTTCAGTAACCTTATAATAGACCCTCATTTTCATTTAAACTGGCTGGAAAAAATTTCACTTAGTTGCAGCAAATATTGCATTAAAGCTAAGACTACAGGGGCGCCTGGGTGGCTCAGTCGTTAAACGTCTGCCTTCAGCTCGGCTCATGATCCCAGGGTCCTGGGATCCAGCCCCAGGTTGGACTCCCTGCTCAGGGAGAAGCCTGCTTCTCACTCCCCCTGCTTGGGTTCCCTCTCTCTGTCAAATGAATATACAAAATCTTTTAGAAAAATAAATAAAACTAAGGTTACACGAATGTTCATTATTTGCATTAATGGATTAACTATTTCAGGGACCTCCTCATGACTCTAAATCAATCATATTTGATAAGAGAAATGACAATGATGATGTTATCTGCTTGATCCTTCAGCACCTGATCATTCATTCATGCATGTGTCTGCTTGTATCATTCATTAAGCATAATTGAATACCGCACTTGCCAATTACTAGAGGCAAGGCAGTAAGAATACAACCTGTATAGAGAATTCAGATTTAATCTTAAACAATGAGAAAATTAGTATACATACTTTAATAAATGGGATGCTTGGGGCTACAAAACCAAACCAAAACAACAACAAAAAACACCAACTCAATTTAAAGTGTCTGAAACAATAACATAAATTGTAAGCTTTCCCCAGAACTGTAAATTACAGATAGGACTGGGTAAGGCTCTGCTGTACATCTTTGAAATTTCCTTGGCTCTAACTTGTGTTCACTTTGTCCTCCGTCTTCTCTCCAACCTCTAAGATGGGAGTTCCTTCTTCATATTCCAGAGAGAAAAAAAAAATCTCTTCCAACCTTGGAATTTGTTCTTCTATTCTTTTTGGGGGGAAAGGGGTAAAGATTTTATTTATTTATTTGCAAGAGAGAGAGAGAAAGAGAGAGAGAGAGAGAGCTTGTACAGCAGGGGAAGGAGTAGAGGGGGAGGGAGAGGGAGAGAATCTCAAGCAGATGTTGCACTGAACGTGGAGCCTGATGCTGGGCTGATCCCAGGACCCCGAGATCATGACCTGAGCTGAAATCAAGAGTTGGGCACTTAAACAACTGAGCCACCCAGGAGCCCCAAAACTTCTGTTCTTTATTCAGCTTAGGTTACATGCCCATCTTTGGAACATTAACAGCAGCCAAGGGAAGACCACACACTGAATCAATTACCAGTAAGAGTATGGGATTACTAGATTTGGTTAAGAATGGTGGTCCTCAAATTTACCTGTGGAACTCCACCTGCAACGTTCCTAATTGAGTAGGTCAAGGATGGGGCTTACGGATTTGCATTGCTAGCAAGTTCCAGTGACGCTAATGCTCCTTGTTTGGGGATCACCCTTTGAGAATCACTGGTTTAGGCAAATCATGATCTACCTCAGGAACTGGGGATGGAGTTGGCTCCCTTGAGCCACATGGGCTATGTGAGTATCTGACCAAAGTTGAGGTCCAGTTTGAAAGAAGAGGGTTGAAAAGAAAGATCAGAAGACAACCAACAGCATCTCCTACACTTGTTTAAGCAAGAACATGATAACATCATAGATCTTATATGTTATTAAGGATGCAAGATCCAAAGAGTGATCTAAATTAGGAGGACATGGTAACATGATTATAAGGACAAAGAATTTTCCGTTCAAGATTACACCATAGTTAAAATGATCAGATCTTTTTAATCAACAGGGATGCAAGATGTAAAATTTCTAAGGAAGGCGAGCACGGAATTGGACCGAGTCTCTAGACAGAACAGTCGTGTTCCCTCTCTGGATAGCCTCTCCTGGCTTTTGGAGTCATTATTGTCTCTGCAAGCCTGGTGTGTAACTGCTAGGGCAGAGCCATAAGCAATTTGCTTAAATCCTTGTAAGGATGGTTTTTAACTAGGGTACCTTTTATAGGCGAGGGTGTAAAAAAGATTGATTGGTCAATCTTGGTATCATTTGTATCTGCCCCCATTCGTCAAATCACAGTAAGAGAAACAAATAAGTGTTTCCCAGAGTGTGCTGCTTAAAACTCCCCAGTGCCAAGAGATGCTATGAGATACTATGAGGATAAAAGTTTTACAAGCAAATGAGTATAGGAGATTTGAGCTTTCCTATGCACATTAAAATGTTAAAAGCTCATAGAAATTCCCTAGTGGTGAAGCCCAAATAATTTTGTTTTAATACATTCCCCAAAGCTATTTGGTCACGGGAGCCTTTTTGCTGTTCACATACGGCAGGACTCCTGTCTTGTGGAATGCGCTTTTGGAAATGGTGTACGAAACTTTGAAACTAAAAACGTTATCAAAGAAATTCTCTTCCCATTAGGAACCACTCCAAGATTTGCCAAACTTCTCTCTAAAAACAAATTCATTGATGCCTAATCTGAATGCACCATCGTCAATTTCTGGGTATTTCACCCATGCCGTGATTAAGCTATGATCAAATCTAATAAAATGATTTTCATAGGACTTCGCTGCTAATTCCTCCTTTGACCACTACATACAGACAAAATGAGGGCTGCTGATGCCTTATACATAACAGATACTTAAATATTTTAAAGGTGTCATACCGCTGAGGAATGTAATCATGAACACACAAAGCCTTGTATGTCATCAGTGAACATTCTGGTTGAATAGG